GCTCAATAATCAGGTGGGATGGTCAGGCCCTGTGGCTCACACCTGCAGTCCCAGAGCTTTAGGAGGCCAGGGTGGGAGGATCGCTTGAGGCCGGGAGTTCCAGACCAGAGAGACCCATCTCTACAACAAATGCAAAAATGAGCCGGGTGTGGTGGTGCGGGTGGTCCCAGCTACTTGGGAGGCTGAGGTAGGAGGATCGCTTGAGCCCAGGAGTTGGAGGCTGCAATGAACTACAAATGAACTACTGTACTCCGGCCTGGGGAACAGAGCCAGACTCTCTCTGTCTCAAATAATAACAATAGTCTCATGGTCCATGATCTTGGAGGCTATTCTACAAACCCTGGTCTCCACACTACAGCCTCGTCCCTGAGCTTGGATGGGGAGGCTCCGGCCCGGCCTTCAAGAAACCCTAAGCTGGGGCGGCCACAGATAACCCTCAGAGGCACAGGGTCAGAGCTGGGCTGTGGGGAAGGGCCGGAGGCTGAGGGCCAGAATGGCTGCAGTGGAGCTGGAGCTGCCCGGGGACCCTCACTCCAGACACTCTGGTCTCCCGGCGGGGACAGCTCAGGGGTGACATGCTGGCTGTCAGCATCTCCTCTGGACCACCCAGTTTCCTGAGGGGCAAACTGAGGCAGGGTGAGGGGATAGCAGGAACTTGCCCAAGGTCACCGTGAAGTGGGGGTTGAGGGACTCAAACCCAGAGCCCAAGACTCACACCCCTCCCCACACCCACGGCAGGTGCAAAGGGTCCGAGTGAGGCCAGCCCAGTGGGGGGGGGCAGAAGGAGCTTGAGGCTTTTGGGGGTCCCCTGCCACCCCTGACCTGACCCAGGAGCAGCACTGAACCGTGATGCTTGAGGGGTCTTGACGGGTGAAGGGCACGGCCAGGACAAAGCAGGAGGAATGAGCTTGGTGGGTTTCCCGGCGACCAGAGGGTGGCCCCTTCCCGGGCCTGGCATAGGCTTCTCTTGGATGCCCTGGAAGTTTGTTTTCTATGATCATTTCTTCTTTTTTGACTCGGAGTCTTAGTCTGCCACCCGGGCTGGAGTGCAGCGGCACGTTGATGGCCACCGTAGCCTCGACCTGCTGGGCTCCGGCGATCCTTCCGTCTCAGCCTTCCACGTAGCTGGAACTACAGGCGCGCACCACCA